ACCATCCAGCTCACGAGGGGACATGCGGGTGGATCCCCCGGTGACACGGACGAGCCTCACCGTCCACCAGGGCTGCACAGGACAGGAGGGAAGATGCAGCGGCTGCCGTCTGGGACCAGGACCTGTCGCGGCTGCCGCCCTGTCTCCGGTTGGAAGGAGAGCGTCTCTGGCTGTGCTGCCTGGAAGGCTTCCTGGGCATGAGGGCTCCCTGTGCCTCACAGGAAGCTCATGCCGGATGACTCGGGCCCACGGCTCCGTCTGTGAGCTCTGCCCTCTGCCTGTTTCCCTTGGCACGTTGGGCACAGCAGCTCGAAGCACACGGTCGGCTGAGCCTCTGCACTTCGGTTTCTAGGATCGTGCTCATGCTGGGGCTCTCTCCTCAGAGCTGTCAGAACGCCCTCCTACCCCACCAGGTCCCCCTGGCACCCTCCTGTGTGCAGAGCTCGTCCTGTGGGCACAGGGTCAGGGGAGGCCAGGCTGTGGCTTCCAGGGGCTGGAGATGCTGCCGAGGCCCAGCCAGAGCCAAGAGCCGGAGCTGCCGGATCTGCCCAGCGAGTGGCCTTCATGGGGAGGTGGCTGGGATGATGGAAAACAGGCCATGGGCCTCACCTGGGAGGGGCTCCGGTCCTGCAAGCCCCTCAGTGGGAGCAGGTGCCACCGGAGAGGACACGGCAGCAGTGCCCATCGCTACGTTGGCTTTTACATTCTGGTCACAGATGCCTCATGGGAGCCTCATCTAAGCCCTGAAGCTGCCATCCCGCCCCCCCCCCTTCACTTTATAGAAAGGACCCGGAATCTCCAGTTGGTTAACTGACCAGAGCCAGGGCTCCTGACAGTCCCCTGGAGCCTGCAGTGCGGGGCCTGTGGCCGCCGAGGGGCGGCTGACACGCAGCTGGTGAGGGCAGCCTCTCGGGTGAGACGTCCCTCTGGCCGGGGGAGGAGGAGTCACAGCTGCACCTTGGACTGAACTTTGTGACCCCCCCCCCCCAAAACTGGGGAGAGGTCTGTCCGTCCACACACACTCGCGGGAAAGGCCAGGGAGGGGTCAGTCTGCACCCAGGAAGAGGCTCGGCCTCAGACTCCCAGGCTCCAGAGCTGTAGGAAGCGGATTTCCGTTGTTGAGGCCGCATGACACGTGGCGGCAGCCTGAGTTGTGACGGGCCAGCAGGCACCCAGCTTCTCTCCTGGAACTCCTCCACCGGCAGTTCCAGGCGCCAGGTTGGACGCCGCCCTGCAGGTAGGTCCGCATTCCCTGCGTGAGGGGCAGCCTCCCTCGTGGCTCTCCTAGGACCTCGTCCTTCCCTCTCGGATGCCTCAGGCCCCTGTGCTGAGAGCGAGAAGCGTGGCCTCTGCCCCACAGACGTGACCCGAGGCTCGGTCCGTGCCTGCTGACCTCACCTGGCCCCTCCATGCACCCAGGTCTCCTTCGCCCGGTAGAAGGCACACCGATGGGAGCCAGAGGCCAGGAGCGGCCAGGGGTCAGCAGGTGAAAGAATCAGCAGCTTGTCTACTCCACCTTCCATCTTCTTTTCCTTTTTTAAACCAGATTCCTCTTTAACGCCCGTGTTTGTGTCCCCAGCCCTCTCTCCACCAGCATGCAGCCTCCTCATTCTCAAGCCCCTGCTTCCAAAGAAGAGGGAGTGGGGGGTCTCTCTCCCCCCTCCCCTGACTAGCCCTCTCTCCACCAGGCCGGGCACACTGCCAGCATGCAGCCTCCTCGTTCTCAAGCCCCTGCTTCCAAAGAAGAGGGAGTGGGGGGTCTCTCTCCCCCCTCCCCTGACCCCCGTGATACTAACAAAGTGGTGAGGACAGGGCCCTGGGCAAAAGATCCCCTTCTTCAGTGGGTCGTAGCGACCGGAGAAGGACCAAGACGGACCACGAAGGCAGGAAGCTCTCTCGTGCTCCAGTGCAGGCAGGTGGTTTCTGCTCGTCTGCCTCAAACTCAAGACACGGGCATCTACTCAGTGAGAGAATCTCTTTCGAGAGCCCGCACCCCTGGCCCTGTGTGCTCTTTATTTGGGCACCAACAGGATGTCCGCTATGGGGGGTGTGCGCATCAGTGATTTTCAGCCTTTTCATCTCATGGCGCACATACACTAACTGCTAAAATTCTGCAGCACGCCAAAAAATATATTAAATTTCGCCAGTTTGACAAAAAAAGGCATAATTTTTTATAATTTCATTCGCACCAGATGTCTATTGTCCTTTTTTTTTTTCTTTTGCAGCAGTTCTCAACCTGTGGGTCGCGACCCTTTCACAGGGGTCGCCTAAGACCATCGGAAAACACATCTATAATTACATATTGTTTTGTGATTAATCACTATGCTTTCATTATGTTCAGTTTGTAACAATGAAATTGGGGGTCACCACAACATGAGGAGCTGTATGAAAGGGTCGCGGTGTGAGGAAGGCTGAGAACCACTGAGAGGTCAGTGCCCCTGCCTGAGTAGTCAGGTTTTGCCTGTTGTAAGAAACACTGGCACGCCAGTTGGAAATGGTTCGTATACGTCATTAAAAAGTTTACTTCTGAAGGAATTCTCCACCTTAAAACCAGAGCATTGGGGCCACTTGCCCAGGATCACACGACTAGCAGAGGGGACGACGGACGTGTTGGAGGCGGTTTCTCGGTGTGGTGGGGCCGTCCAGGCACCTCTGTAAGAAGCCCTGTGGCTGGTGTCGGCCTGCGTGCCCTCAGGGAGGGCAGTGGCCTGGCCAGGCTCAGGGTAGTGCCCACCTTTGTAAACAAAGGTGACAGACCAGCAGCCACTGATTTAGTGCCAGCTCCGTCGGGAATGCAGATAGAGAGAAACAGCGTATTACCAACTGAGCTTTCCCCGACTGTGTACATTCCTTTCATTCAGCAAGACTTTCATGCCTCGCGGTGCCTCCCTGTTGACTTTCTCCTGCCTTGGGAACGCCCCGGCAATCCAGGGGGTGTGACCACCTGTGGCCTGGGAGGAGGGACTGGACAGAATAAGACGGAGCCCCCCTCACCCCGCAGTCTGTCCAGAGCCTCTCGGGCAACTCTCTCCGGGTGCCCAAAGCCCTGAGCATCCAGGTTGGGCTCTTGGCATCCCAGTCTTGGTTCCTACCCCTAAGGGAGCGCTCGGCCCAAACCCGCCAACGGTTCCGCTTGCTGATGCCACCAGCCCACCTGACTCGCCCAGCGGTGGTCTTGCCTGCGTCTCCGTGCGGCAGGTTAGCCCCTTCCAGACCTCCAGACCCTGGCTGCCCACAATGTGTGACATGTGGTTCGAAGGCCAGTACTGACCAGATGTCCTGCTCTGGCTCAGAGCCAAGCCGGGGTGCGGCTCTCACCACCCCTCGTGCACCCCAGCCTGTGCCCAGGTGGTCTGTCCCAGGTGGTCCTGTGGGTAGAACTCCTCACCCCCAGGTAACTGCCTACGTCCATCAGTGTCTTCACCGACAAGAGGCTTCAAAGTCGTGGCCGCTGGCAGGTCACCTCACGGCATGTGTGAACTGTAAACTCCTCCTCCACAGGCAGCTCTGCCTGTTCCTGGGGGTCTGACAGGCCCCGAGGGCTCTGCCCACCTCAGCAAGGGGCTGGGGTTTAGGGGGAAGGGTCCGGCCGGGCAATCCTGTTCTGTCTCATTTACCAAGAACCCGGTGTTGTCGTCTTTGTCATTGTGCCTGTGCCAGCCAGACTGGCCAGCGGGGTGTCTTCTGATAGCGTTTCAACAGTGAGGTTCCACAGAAGGAGCTAAAGGGGGAGGGACTTCTCATAACGGGATCGTTGTGAACTCTAAGGTGGTGACCATTTGGCTGTGCCACGAACTTGTATCTAATGATTAGAATAAAGATGCAAGTAAACAATGAGCCGACGATCGGACACATTTTCTCAGCCAGCGTCGGACACGGCAGCACACAGCCATGTGCTGAATGGTCACGCTGCGCGTCTTTAAAATTCCTGCTGGATTTGAAGGTATTAACAAGTCCCTATCAGCATTCTCTAAAGGTTTTTGATGTCATTTTAGCTATTGAACTGAAATATGTGAACTATTACTTTGTTGATTTTCTTCTTAAACCAGGCTGCATTACATCTGAGCGTGTGTTTTAAAGTATTGTTAAAAGTGCTCTGAGAACTTGTAAATCCCTGTGATTCATGTTCCTCCTGCCTCTGCGGTTGCGTTCCTTCCCTCTGGTTTTAATCTGAATGCAGTCCTGCCTGGGTGTGTACCTGTAAAACGGTGTTTCTCCGAGTACAATTTACAGTCCTGGCCTTGGCTTTCACCGTGTCCCTACCCTCCTGTGAGGACTGTCCAGGCGAGGTTACTTGAAACAGACCTGATTTGGACATTTCTGAGTTTATTGTGAAGGCCCAGGGGTGAGTGAGGAGGGCTCCCTACGAGCCCATTAACTGCGTGTGCACGGCCGTCAGCCTCGCCTGCTGCAGCCACGGCCGCGTTTCTCTAAACAGTTCTCCTCTTAGTCTCCGTGGCACCGATGGAAACAGATAAGGAGGACGGATGGGAGGAGGGACCTTGGGAGCCTGGGCCGAAGCTGCTCGTTCCCCTACAATCCCCTCTTCTTCCAGGGCTGGTCTGCATACGGAATGGATTTATCCGCGTTCATATGTTCTGTGAGCGGGTCAGGGACTGCAGTGGGCAGGGCTGCCAGAGCGTGTCTGCCTGGGGCGGGGGCTGTGTGCAGGTTTAAGGGAAATGGCTGTTGTTCTGCTTTTGCCCGGGGGGGGGGGGGGTGCGTGGTTACAGCTGCGTGTTCTGGTCCACGGCGCAGGCCTCCACGGCTGCTGGACCTTCATCAGGATTCTAGTAACTTAAATGGCTGCAGAACTTCTGGAATCTCTTCCTCGAGTTAGGAGATGGGGTTCTTGTCCGCTCCTTTCAGGTAAGGAGCGGGAGTCTTTTCCTCCTCCCGCTCCTTCCGCGTGTCCTCCTGGTTCTTCCCGGCACCTGCCCATGGAAAGGGGGCGGGGCCGGCCGGCGGCTGGCAGTTGACTGGTTGCTCCTCTGTCCCAGGTCATCGTGCAGTCCGGCCGCCACCCCACGGTGCTGCAGAAGCTGTGCCAGCTGCCCTTCCCGTACTTCAGCGACCCTCGGCTGGTCAAAGTGCTGTTCCCGTCGCTCATCGCCGCTTGTTACAACAACGGCCAGAACAAGATCATCCTGGAGCAGGAGATGAGCTGCGTCCTGCTGGCCTCCTTCATCCAGGTACCTCCGTGCGGCCTGCCTCGGCTGTGCGAGGGGGCAGGTGCCAGCCACCCGCCTTCTAGGGCGTTCACCTGCTTCTGTGCTTGGAAATTATTCACAAGATGTCGGGTGGTGAGAGGGGGCTTGAGTGTTGTGTAGTTTCTACTGGAGGATTTCAGGGAAAGGGCGAGTGATGCAACGGTAAGCCCACACCACGATGTTTCCAAAGGACGGCCAGGCCTCGCTGAGGCTTTAACGTCACATTCATCTTACATTTAGTCTGGCTGTGAGGGACAGGCAATGATTGCTGAGGGAAGATCAATTAGAACTTCAGTGTATTGGTGAATGTTTAAATAAATACTATTCACACACGCACACACACACACGCACACACACACACACCTGTGTGTATAACAAAAACCTGTTATGTTGCCTTTAGAAAAATCTACAACTTTTAAGAACGGCCTCCTGTGTTTCTGGTTGAGTGAAAGTCTGTAATCAGTGCTGTACTAAGCAAAGCAGTGTTTCCACATCGACACTAACTCGGTTGCTGACAGGACAACAGCCAAGTTGGCTCTTCTTTAATGTGTGTTCATAGCTAACCGGTGGTTTTCTTCTGTCGTCGTAGATCATTATTTCCTGAAAACATTCCATTTTCTTTCAAATATAACACAACTGGGTCAATTATGTTTAGAAATCTTTTTTTTTAATATATTTTATTGATTTTTTACAGAGAGGAAGGGAGAGGGATAGAGAGTTAGAAAGATCAATAAGAGAGAAACATCGATCGGCTGCCTCCTGAACACTCCCTATTGGGAATGTGCCCACAACCAAGGTACATGCCCTTGACCGGAACCGAACCTGGGACCCTTGGGTCTGCAGGCCGACGCTCTATCCACTGAGCCAAACCAGTCAGGGCTGTTTAGAAATCTTTTACTTTCAGCTTAGTTGTTTTGTTTGAGCCTGGGTTTCATTTTCTGAAAAAGTTTTCAAAGATATTCAAATCTACAGGTCAGGTACAAATTTTCATAAAGTGTCATATGGTTAAATCAAAGTCTTAATAAAGTCTTCTGTAACCATCATAGCAAGAGTTAGGATTCTACATATGCTCTTGGAACCTTGGGATTGAATTCAATAGAAATTACATTTAAGACTGTGATAGTAAACGCAGATGGTTCCTCTTCCAGTCGGTACTTTGTGGTCCCTCCAGGTTACACCCTGCTCTAGGCACTGGCATCACAGCAAGGAATGAAACATAAAACCTGCCTCCATAGACTTCTCATTGAGGCGGGAGTCAGACAGGAAACAGACAGCTTGTCCGTAGAGTTAATGCTGAGGAGGAAAGTACGGCAGGAGGGGTGGGGCTGCCAGGGCCGTGGGTGCAGCTTTGGGCCCGAACAGAGGGCCCTCAACCAAGACAGTGATAGCTGAGCAAAGAGCAAATCTGTGTCTGTCTCAACTTAATCCATTACATTTTCAACTGCTTGGGAAACAATTTGTAAAAATACAAATGATAGCAGAATCTAAAGTAGTAAATATATATGTGTATATATATGTGTATATGTATATGTATATATACACATATATACATATATATAGTACTTGTTTTCATCTGATGTTCATCTCAAACTAGTTCTAAATCTGCTCTATTACATTCAACACACATTCAAATGTAAGTGAATATAAATTTAACACATTTCACATATATTTTAACACAAATTCTGTAAATGCTACACAAATATCTTACAATGCTTATTTGAGATAAAATGTTGGACTTAAATCAAGTAATTTTTTTCTATAAATAATTGTGAAGGGAATTAATATATATTAGATTTTAGCTTATAAAATGGTTCTGCAAGGTCCCTGTGTTTTAGATAAATAATAATCACTAGAAAATGATATCAAAGGTAGGAGCTGGTAGTTTCTGAAATTTTGTATATTCTACATTTTCCATGTGAAAGTAAAATTAGCAGACTTTAAAATTTAGCTACAGAATACATAAGAGTTTTAATAGTTGTGTTTTAAAAACATGTTCATAATCTGTTTAAAACAGTAAATGTGACTATAAAGTGTTCAGTTTGTTAGATATAAAGTAAAATTGTCGTTTCCATAGTAGCAGCAGAATCTGAGAGTCATCACTGTTTAACTTAAAGTTACAGGAACATGGAATGCATAGCATCAGTTTCTTCAGCTTTGATATTTGGGCTCCAAAATATTCGTGCAAAAATCATTGTCTCTGAATTCAGCAGCTTTAAAGCCGCCTCAGTGAGGTTCTCTGCTTGTGGTTTTGGTATAAAAACGCTTTTCTCATCTTGCACAGGACTTTGCACAGAATCACGGTCAGGCAGCTAACCAGTCGTACCAGCCCAAAGGTATGTCTCTTAAGATTGAACGTCGTGTTTGTTGGCTGAACAGACATGTTTCTTACTTCACCTTTCGGAACCCTTGGAGAAATTATTGCTTACTTTGCCTAAAATATTTGAGATTCAGATACCAAGTGTATTTCAGTCAATAAAAAAATCTATTTTGTCATCAGCATGAATGTATCAGAATATACAGAGCCATGGCCAGTGTGGCTCGGTTGGTTGGAGCGCCATCCCGTATGCCAGAAGGTGGTTGCTTCATTCCCGTCAGGGCACATACCCAGGCTGCAGGTTTGATCCCCAATCAGAACACATGCAGGGGGCAGCCAGTCAATGTTTCTCTCTCTCCCTCTTTTTTCCAATCTCTCTAAAACTCAATAAAAAAAATAAAATAAAAAGAATATACAGAGAAATCTATGGAGTAAAAGAAAAGCACAAAAATATCTTTGTGAAATTTATACCCACCTCGTGCAAGATATAAATGGTGAATAATTACTAAATTAGTAATATAGGAGACAATCAGATCATTAATATTGGCCCATGTTACTCACATAAATACTGAAATCACATAGGTTTGGTCCCCTATACATGTTCAGAATAAAATTATCAGTGATAGTAACCCATATTGGCCCTAAATTCAAGTACTTGAATTTTTTTAATTGAAATAAGAAACGTAAAATTGTTCTCCGTGGAGAAAAGGCATCAGATTACAAGGGTTTTTCCCTGTATTTTCCTGCTGAGAGTTTCCTGAGATCAAACTGGAGATGCGGAGTTTTAAAGAGCATCTTTACTGTTTACAACATTCTGCTGCCCAGACAGTAACTGAGGCGTGCAGGTGGCTCTGTGACTGTCGAGAAGCGTCTCTGATTGAGACCCTAGTTCTCCCGTTAGTTTGATAGCCTTCAAAGTGGCCAGTCAGGGGCCCCTCCAGCAGGACCCCCTGGGCACCCACTGAGTAGTCCTTACTGGGGGGCAGGCGGCAGTGGGGGGGTCATCTTGGGTTGTTACACACACACACACACTCACACACACACACACACACTGGGCGAGTGTTGAAAAGTACAAAGATGAAAATATAAGCTTGTAACAATATCATGGGAAACGTCATGTTTTAGTGACTCAGATGAGTAAACAGAAAGCTGTGCCCCTTTTAGAAACTGAAGTCGGCCTCGCAGTTGGTCCCATTTGTCTGAGCCCGACGTGCAAGTTCAGTTCCGCCCTGACTCAGCTGCAGCCTGAAGAGAAGAGCTGTGGGGCTCCTTGGGGAAAGTCAGCATCGTTTGTTACTGTTTCTGACAAGAGAACGTTTAAGTTTGTGAAGATGTGAAAATGCCACAGGAACCCGGTGCCTGCATTGGTACCTGGACAGCAGTTTCTCTGCCAGTGAGCAGTGCAGGGGCCCCTCCTCCTGACTGAGGATGTCACCATTGGCGCGTGTCTGGCAGGCAGAGGCCCAGGAGCTGCCCGTCTGCCTGCCTGGAGGCTGAGGCCTGTGGACTCTCTCCACCTCCTTCTTCCCGGGACCATCTTCTCGGACTCCCACGCTTTCCCCACTCGCTGCTTTAATCCGCACAACAGGGAGCAAACCACTCTGTGGTGACACCCCACCAAGTTGTCCCTGGAGACCTGTTCCCTTCAGGGGAGCTTTCTGTTGTCCCCATAAAACATTGCAGGTCATTGGAGTTGGTTGCCCATGTGCACCCCTAAGTGTGAGCAGCTCTGCAGCACACACCTGGGCCGGGTGCTCGCTGCTCAGCGCCCCCGCTGTGCGAGTGGCTGCTGTGCTCACACCCTAACCGTCCCCTGCGGTTCCATAGGTGACTATCACTCAAAGTTTTCAACCAAACAGACGGTTTTAGAAAATATGTCAAGTTTACATACATATTTACCCTTTCAAGTCTAATTTAAGGACAGATTATGATTGTCGTTTTATTTTGTTACTATATTTATTTTGCCCTATTTTCCTACTCTGGAATCCAAAAGAAATTTTTTCACAATGTTTTACATAGGGGTTAATGTCTAAATACATTAGAAGCATAAAATAGATTGTGACTCAAATATATTGTATATTTTATACTATAGGTAGATTAATTACCTTGTTTGCATAAATTGTGTCTTAGTTTATCTGAAGTTTATGTCTCCATTTTGTACTCAGATATCAAAATAATTTTAATTTCTTAAACTTCAAAGAATTTAACTTTTACATTTCATTCTTTTCCATTTTTCTCTCAGGAAAATGCCTTGGATCCCAAGACTATCTTGAGCTGGCTAACAGATTTCCTCAGCAGGCCTGGGAGGAAGCTCGACAGTTTTTCTTAAGAAAATAATAAAAAACGTTTTGGTTGGTTCTATATTTGAGTACCCTCATTAGTAATTTAAATTGTTCAAACAAACGTTCTAACTGTTCCTTAAGAAACTCTTTTCCACATGTTTATACTCCCCCCGTATGTAGATATGGTATATACTTTGAACTATTTATAATGGCTGTAGATACGTCATGTTCTACTTGCTAACTCTGTAAGTTGAGTTTATTTCATTTATGCACAATAGTTTGCATTTTGGTAACTTCCATCTTATATACTTTGCATTTGTAATATGGGTGAAATTAGGCACAAAATTAGCAAGTCTGTTTACTTCTTGTAATAAAATAACTTATTCTGTTTGTCATGGTGACTTTTCTTAAGAAAATTCAAATTTGAAAGGAAATGCTCTCTCCGGCTCTTGCAGTATCTCAGTAAAGACTCGCGGTTAACCCGCTGAACCGCCCTCTTTCGGGGACTGGAGTGCATTCTAGTGACACGCACGATCCGGGGCCACGGGGGTGAAAGAGCGCGTGGCTCACCCGCCCCCGAGCTTCCCTCGGACAGAGCACAGCCTCCCGGGATGCGAACCGAATTGTTCTCCGGAGTAAAGTCCAGATCCGGGAAGATCCGCTTCTGAAAGACGTGACGGGCGGCGCCGAGCACAGGGAACGTGGGCGCTGACCAGGCCGCCGTCCTCGCCCCGCACCTGGGACCGCGCCGCGGAGCCATCGCTTCTGTCGGATGAGGGTCAGCGTGACCAGCAACAAGGATCGGGTCGGAAAATGCTTCCGAATATGGATCTCGCCCCGCACCTGAGGCCGCGCCGCGGAGCCATCGCTTCTGTCGGATGAGGGTCAGCGTGACCAGCAACAAGGATCGGGTCGGAAAATGGTTCCGAATATGGATCAGATCCAAGACTCGGGTGGGGGGCTGAGCAGAAGTTTCTTCGCTTTTTTAAGAGCAAACCCAGCTACTGAGTCCCTAGGCCGCGCGCGCATGGTTTTTTACTGTTTTACAGAGAAAACGTGGAGCTACCGCTTCCAAACGAACCAAAAGGCGACCCAGCCCCGTGCGCACGTCCGCGGGCACCGAGCGGAGAAGTCGCTTTTCACTTGCAAATGCTCGTCTGGTCGGAAGTTTGCCCGAAAGCCACAGTAACGGAGGCAGCGTGATCACCCTCCCGGGAGCCGGGAGCCGTCCACACCCGCTTCGAGTAAATCCGATCCGACCGTTCCACCGTTCCCCTGCCCGGCTGCCTGGGCGGGTCGGAGCCACCGGGACCTTCCGGGACGGTGCTCCCCCCTCCCCGGGCACTGGGACCCGGACCGGTCTCCCGCTGAGCCTGGGCCTCATCTCACCTCCCCACCGCCCTCCCCTCCTAGGCGGCTGCAGACCCTCGGACCTCGGTGACCTGGGAAGGGGTCATCCCCACCCCCGGCCTCCACTCCCCTCTCCCGGCTCCCTCCCCCCACGCGGGCCTCCTGTCTTCCTACCGAACTGCGCCCCCCCCCATTCCCGACCTGCCTGACCAGCAGGTGCCTCCTCCAGGCCGCGCTCCCCTGGGGCCCCGGCCTTTCTGCCAGGACTGCTGAGGCCCCAACTTGCCTTTTAAGGTGGGGCACCCCCCCCCCCAGTCCTCATGCCCCTTCCTCTCCCATCGCCCCTCTGACTCCAGAGGCCGCCTCTCCAAGCACAGCCTCTATCAACAAGGGGCTGGTCTCATTGCTGCACGGTCCTCATTACCGCGCGGAACCCCTGTATCTGGAACAAAGTTTACCTTTACATCAATCAGACCCGCGTCTAAAAGCCTCTAATCTTCCTTGCATCAGCTTAATAAACTCTGAATTTCCTGCTTTTATCACAGCTTGATTGCAACGTCTCTGCAAATAGTTTATTATTCATTCACGGTGTCCTCTCCCCATCCTTGCGAGGACTTGCTTGTGTGGGAAACAGCCCACGAATTGTGTGGCGATGCATGCCCCTCCCCCATGGAGAGCAGCAGAACCTTGTTTTCTTGAGAACAACTTTAGACAGTGTCTCACTTTAGCCCAGTGTTTGCCGCTCTGAAAAAATTTAATCTAGTCCATATTTTAACTTGAAAAGCTGATTTCTGTCCCACAATTCATTAAATATTAACGTTTGTTGGGATACTGGCTCAGGGGCTCTGAATGTCCCAGAAGTGTGCAGTCCTGCCATTCGTAGTGAAGTTTCTGGTGTAATAGCCATACACTTTCCCAACTCTGGGAACCCCCTCCCTGCCTGAATTTCGGAGAGCTATCCACATTATTAGATAAATACTCTAATGTCTAGAGAATGTCTTATCCTAAAGTGGATCTAGTTAAATAACTAATTCCCATTTTGCACCTATGGCCTCTTAACTGACTTTTTTACTACACAACTGGGTAAAAGTTGAGTAAACAAAATACAACACTTGTAATTGTTACAGGCAATTTAATTTACAAGAAAATCCCTACTGTATTACAGGAGATGTTTAAAGATGACCTGGGAGCCATGAAAACATATTTATTAATGTAACTAACGAGCGGTAGATATGACACCTCACCAGGGACCTTTGTAATAAAGCTTCAAAGTTAAACGCGTTCCCTGGAACCCACGTGGGAAACGATGTGCCTGCAGGAGAAGAGCTGCTGTTTTATACAGTAACAGGCAGATGCCAGCAACCTGATACAGTAACCACTTCCTTCATTTCCCAACACTCAAAAGAAACAGGCTCACATAAATATCCAAAGCAGGAATTAGATGGTTTGATTGTGGATGGCAAGGGAAGAATTGGCTGCAACTAGATGTTTCCACTTGTAGCATTAAAATAACTGCAGTTTGTCAAAAGCAAAAATTCGGAGCTAATTCACAACCATTGATGAAATTCTTTATTCAAAAACCTATTTCCTTTTTTAAAAATGACAAAACCCAGTATTCTGGATAAATCAAAAGCTGGAAGTTTAGCCACGTCTTCAATGGCCAGCCACAAGGCCAATGAAATGCCTGCATTTCAGTTTGGGAGGGAATGGCCCAAGTTGAGGGAGTGAAGCCTCAGAGAATATTGGGCACTGGGGAGGGAGAGCCGGTCCTCTTACCCTGGTCTCTCCCCTCATCTGTGAGTTCGCAGCGCCACTTGCTAAATCCCCTTTCCTTTCTGTGCTGGCACCGCCTTGGCGCTCAGGAGGCAACAGAAATGTGGCTCCAGGTCCTCACCTCCTCCGCTTTCAGTAACTGCCTGCACGTCCCCCAGCTTTCCGGGGCGGGGGCGGGGGGGACCTGAGGGGGGGGAGTCCTGCCCTCCTCG